AAGTTGTCTTTGATTCAAATTAGTTTAATTTCAGACTGTACAAGGACGAATTGGGTAGTGTTCTGATTATCAAGTTGTCTTTGATTCAAATTAGTGTAATTTTAAACTGGAGAATGTTGATGTTTAGCTACTTTGTGGGGATGATTTTCGTGTCTGTCGTTTTGTAGGCTAGGTGGTGCATCATTTGTTTGGGAATATTCTTTTTATGTGTAGATTTAGATAGCAAGGTCATTGGTCTTATGGTATGTGTTGCTTGAAGATAAGCAATCTACTGTAATAAACACCTCTGGAGTTTGAAATTCAGCTGATTCGAAATTTCAGCATAAGTTTTTGAGCTACTTTTTAAGTACTTGCAAGTTTCTCTCACATTTCTTTTTTGTCAAAGCTGCTTTTGGAATTAAAAAGTAGTTCCTTTTTTTTTTTGTTTTTTTTGTTTTTCAGGGTTACAGAAAATAAGATTGAAAATTTGGTTAGTTTCTTATTTTCCAAAACTATTAAAAAGAAATAGTAAATTGACTTCAAAATTTTTTGAGTTTTACGTACAATTCTGTAAAAACAAGGGCAAAGAGGGCCAAATTAGATGCACAGGTGAGAGAGTATGAGAGTTGTGTTTGTTTAGAAATTAACTATAAGCAAAGAGGGCCAAATAGATCTTACTGCTGTTCACCAATTAAGTAATGCGTTTTGCTCACAGATTTCAAAAGTGTGTGAATAAATTCAAACTCATTGAGGGTGGTTTAATTTCAAATGTTGCAGATGATGATAGCTTCTTGTAGACACCCCATTTTTGACCGACCTTAAGACTCAGACGTCACCGATTGAGCGCTTGGTGATGTTGCATAATGTGCTCGTTCAGAAGTTTCAGAGTCGTGGCCGTGAGCCCTGCCTCCGGACTTCCGAACCCTCTTCTTTGCCTTGCCTCGGTTTGCGAACCAGACTCGATTTTCTCTGTTTCTTTTCCTGAGGGGAGGGAGAGGTCCCGTAGACCATCTCTCAGTGGCCGTGGGCTACATTTTGTGGCTATAGGCCATTTTGCCCATTTCGGGGCCTGGTTCCCGGTTTTCGGAGCCGTCAGGCCGTGTGCCTCGGTTCGGGACCGCTTAACCATCTCCATTTGCTCTGATTTTTGGTATACATCTTATTTTCTCCCTTTTGAGGGACACTGAGGTCTGAGAGACCCACTTCGTGGTCGAATACCACTTTCGATGTTTAACAGCCCATTTTCGGGACCCCGAACTGCACATTTTGGCCCCCGAACATTCGTTTTGCATCGGTTTTCGTTCATTTTTGGCAGGTACCTCTGTTTTATCACCAGGAAGGCCTTAGAAGGGTGGGAGGCCAGAAATTGTTTCAACAACCTGTTTTTACTCCTCCGGCGCCCTCCAACGCCCGTTTTCCTCACTTCCGGGCTAATGTTGAACACCTTGGGCCCACTTTCTTGAACTTTGAACCACATATTTGTGATGTACACACATAGGAGGACCCTAAAAGTTCATGGCCGGCCACTAATGCTTCTTGACCCTTTTGAACCCCTCCTTCCGAGCCAATGTTGAACACCCTTGGGCCACTTTCTTGAACTTTGAACCACATATTTGTGTTGTAAACACATGGGAGGACCCTAAAAGTTTATGGCCGGCCATTAATTCCATTTGAACCTTTTGAACCCCTCCTCAAAACGGCTTGTTCTCTCTCCTGTTTTAGAGTTTCCAAATTCGAACCACAGGGTTGTGAAGAGGAGACCTGGGAGGCCACCAATATGTGATGGCCGGCCACTATTTCAAGTTGACCCTTTTGACCCCTAGCTGGCCGGCTAGGGGGGGTGGCCGGCCGGCCACTTCCAAGCTCAATAGGTGGCCGGCCATGTTCCTCTCTCCTTCCACTTTACAGTTGTGTAGCCCTTTCCCCCAGAAAATATCTATATCCGGGGGATATTTTGTGGGGGAAAGTTGGCCTCCTTTTCCCCCACCTTTACACCCACTTTTTGGTCCTTATAACCAGCAGCCAACATCATATTTGGAGGTTGGAAAAAATTGTCTTCAAGCCTCAATACACATATCTCCCTCCTTCTCTCATTTCTACCCTAAAAACTCCAAGTCCTACACCTTGTTTCCTTCATCACCACCAAGCACCACCATCACCACTCCATTTCCAGCAACAAGGAAGGCTTCTCCAAGGCTAAAGGTGCTGCAACTTGGTCCAAGAAGCAACAAAAGACTTGTCTCCAAGGGTGAGTTGCCATTTCCCCTCTTTTTGAGCTTTTCTTTGCAACATTTCTTAGCCATCTATGCTTTTTGCTTTGAGCTCCGGCCATAACTGAAAGTGGCCTTCTTTTGAGCTCATTTTCATGTCTCATTAAGGACTCAACTCTGTTTGAGCCCTCCATCTTGCACTTGCTTCATTATCCCTCTAAAATGTCATTTTCTTGCATGATATTTTTAGCTTGTGTGTGATTTGTTTTGGAGCATGTTGTAAACTGATAATAGGCTTATTTTGAGCCCCTCTTCAACATTTAAGAAGGGCTCAACACTGTTTGGGACTTCCATGTTATACTTGCCTTTACACTCCCTTTTTGGTCCCATTTTTGCATGCTATGGCAGCCTATTGTGCTCTGGTTTTTGGTCATTTTACAGAGCTAGAAAAGTTCTTATTTTGGTCCATTCTTCATGTTTTGTTTAGGGCCTTTCATGGTTTGGGACCTCCATATGCCACTTCATGTTATATCTCTCTTTTGGTCCCCATTCTTGCATGTTTTGTTAGCCTATCATTCTTTTGTTTTTGGCCATTTTACAGTTCTGAAAATAGTCTTATTTTGGCCCATTATTCATGTTTCATTAAGGGTCTTTGGCCGTTTGTGGAATATTTTGCATACCTCATGTTATAGTCCCTTTTGAGCCTTATTTTGCATTGCATTTCTAGCATATTTGTATACTGTTTTTGGGTTTTTACAGTTCTGTAAATATGCTTATTTTTTGTCCCTCTTCCATGTTGTAGAAGGAAATTTTTCATTTTGGGCCGTGCATATACCACTTGTCTCTTTGGCCACCTTTTGGTCCATTTTCTTGCATTAGAACTTAGCCTTATCTACGTTCATTTTTTAGGTTTTTACAGTTCTGTGAAAGTGCTTATTTTTGGTCCCTCTTCAATATTGTTGAAGGGTCCTAACCCATTTGGATTTAGAAGTTGTGAGTTGCTTCATAATCTCATGTTTAGGGCCATTTTCGCATGCTAATTTTTCCCTATCTTTGCTTGCTATTTGGCCATGTTTTGTACTGGAAAAATGCTTATTTTGGGGCTGCCTTGCTTTTGTCTTTTCATTCCATGTACCAATTGTGCATGTTTGGTATAGCTATAGGCCATTTCGGGTGCCTAATTTTGCATTTCGGGAGAGATTCCATGCATCGGGTGTGATTTCGCCTCATTTTGGGGCTGTTTTCCCCACATTTCAGTGCTTAAACCCCATTAGCATGCTTGCATATCATTTCCCATGCCATAGTTCGCATTTTTGCATTGCCTCGGTTTCCGTGCCCGATTGCACGCATTTCGAGGCACTTCATTTTCATTCATCGGCCTCTTATGTGAGTGTGGCTGAGGCTCTCTCATGTTAGTGTAAGTCCATGTTGCATTCTATATGCCATTTTAGCCATGCTATTGCATTGCGTATGTCATTGCCTCGGTTTGCGTGCCCGTGTGCACGCATTTCGAGGCACTCCATTTTCATCCATCGGCCTCTTATGTGAGTGTGGCTGAGGCTATCTCATGTTAGTATAAGTCCATGATGCATTTTATATGCCATTTCCATGCTATTGCATTGCGTATGCCATTGCCTCGGTTTGCGTGCCCGTGTGCACGCATTTTGAGGCACTTCATTTTCATTTATGTTTTTTTTGTTTTAGTGAATATTTTTAAAATTTTAAGTAATTTTTTATTTTTTTAGATGCACCTTCCTTAGATGTATCTAAATAGTAACATATTTGTGAAAAAATATTTTAAAAAATTAATAAATACAAAAAATATGAAAAATGCACTGAATTTTTATATTTTTTTCTATTTTTGATATTTAGTAAATTTAAAAAAAATCATAAATATTATATTTTCTAAATTTATTTATGTTAGATGTGTTTAAAAATTAAAAAAATATATATTAAAAATATTAAAAAATTTAGTGAAAGCAAAAAATTATGAAAAAATAAAAAATAAAATTTTTTGAAAAATGAATTCTGAAAACAGAAAATGAGCAGATGTCTCCGCAATTAACAGTTGAAACGATATCATTTAGTTCACATCATGAGACAGCGTTTTGAAAAGGTAATCATCATGGGTCCGCCAATACTGGCGTTTTCATAAATGCCGCAACAGGTTCTTTTTCTTGTACCACAATGAAAATGGTCAGAATCCTAAAATTTATAAGGCGAATGAAACAATAATGTTTACCCTTAAGAGCAAGAGCCAATTAGCCATTCAAACAAATTTTAAAACTGCTTAACATCTCAAAAAGACAAGAACTTGAATAAACGGAGACCCAACAAAATGAAAAGAGAAACAGCAACAATTTGAACACAGAAAGAGTGAGAATTAAATTTTTGGAACTAAATTATTATAATAATTTGCCCAGAACAATTTTTTGATATTTTTAAAGTATTATGTCAATAAAATCAATATCAAATTTCAAGAGAGGGAAACTGGATTTCAGGGCAAGTTTACCATTAGAAAATGTTTTTTGCCGAAATAAAGAGAGCATAAAAGTTCAATGCTAACGGGATTCAAATTATAGCTTAGTCTTCTAATTTGATGTTCAAAATAGAACGGTTAAAAGAAAAGTAAAAAAAAAAAAAAGTGATACAAAACTGATGGGATTAGGATTTGTGAAAGTAGCTCATATATAAGTAAGTGTACACATTCTTGTGCAAGTTGAGCATAACAAATTAGAGTTCAGTTCTCTTCGTGGTTGATGCTCTCACCTTGAATGGTTGAAAGACAAAGTTTAGTGATCCAAACTCAATTTTATGAATGATAATATCAATATTCCATGTCACCAATAATCCCCACAAGAACAAATGCCATCCTTGAAGTGATGGAAGCGGTTCGAATCCCTCACAATAATCTCCCTCTCTGTAATCTTTGATATGAATTTAGTCACATTGTGGCAATCCCCACAAACGCGCAAGTTCTTGAATATCCGAATTGGACTCTTAGGAGGGGTGCTGATAATTCCATACGTGATAGCCAATCTCTCACTATGACTCATAAGGATATACTCTTTTTCATCCTCCTCAACATCCTGCAGCACAAAGCTACAGTCCGGAATATAACCGACGGTCTTAATCTTAGCTGTTAAAATCTCCAACTCCTTGCAGATCTCCTCACAATGTGGATGGGATTGGTTCCCGGTATAAAAGAGTTCAATCCTGTTGTTCAGTTCAATTGAGCTCCACCCCGATGTCTTCTTCAATCCACGGTCTCTAGCTAATGATCTCACTTCATCCGCACTTTCCCACTGTCCGACATTTGCGTATATATTCGATAGTAAGATATAGTACCCAACATTTTCCGAATCAACTTCAAACAAGCATTCTGAAGCGAATTTTCCCAGCTCAACATTTCCATGGATTCGACAAGCTCCGAGAAGAGCACCCCAAACCGAAGCATCAGGCCGTAAAGGCATATTCTTGACAAAAATGTATGCCTTTTCTAGGTATCTAGGTCTACCATGCAGCCATAATGCTTCAAACTAGGTTTGATTCTGTTAGAATTAATGTATAGGGAAAAGCACCACTGACCCTGATCAACTAAGCCCGAATGGCTACAAGCTGACAATAAGGATACAAAAGTTACATGATCAGGCTTCACCCCCTCGTCCTGCATAGCTTGAAATAGCTGCAAAGAAGTCTCCGAAAGAAGAAACAGGAAAGCATGCACTAAGGAGACAACATTATTAAAGCTAGTTGGTATTTTACAGCTAATATATATATGCACTAACACATAATACATATAATATACTAACAGCCCCCCTCAAACTCAAGAATGATAGATACTAACCAACTTGAGTTTGGAGAGAGTAACAAAACGTAAAAATAAATTTACAAATAAAATAAAATATGATAGGAAACACTGTATGGTCGTGTCAGACCATTGTAGAAGATATTGTATGGTCGTGTCGAACTGCTGTAAAAGACATTGTATGGTCGTGTCGAACCGTTGTAGAAGCTAATAGGAATCATTGTCGGGATAGTTTACGGGGTCATGCCGGACCGAGGTAGAAGACACTGTGTGGTCGTGATAGTTTACGAGGTCATGCCGGACCGTTGTAACAGACACTGTGTGGTCGTGTCAGACCGTTGTAGGAGCTAACCGAAATCAATGTCGGGACAGTTTACGGGGTTATACCGGACCGTTGTAGAAGCTAACCGGAATCAATGTCAAGACAGTTTATGGGGTCATGTCGGACCGATGTAGAAGCTAACCGGAATCAATGTCGGGACAGTTTATGGGGTCATGCCGGACCGGACCATTTATAGAAGACTTTGGTGGTGCACCGAAGAGGCGACTTAGGGAGTGCGCCATGCGGTAGCTTGGGTGGTTCCCATGGTGTATAACCATGCTCATCAGCTTGGGTGGTTCGCATGGTGTGTAACCATGCTCACCATGATATATGTGTAACCCCCCCTTAAACTCAAATAGTTGTGAAGATAGAAACCTATTTGAGGTTGAAACAAAGGGATTGATAAAGTGGAGCAAAATAGCTCAACACAGAGTGAAGATGTTAAAAAAAAAAAAAAAATAGAGAAGGGTTTTTTTTTTTTTGTGGTGTAGAACGGTGAGCGGGGTAGATCCCTGATAGGAATAAAACAAGGGTGTTGTGCAAACCGGATGGCAAGAATGGTACAACGTTGTTGGAGCAAAAAAAATCAGTGAGGTGGTGTTGAATGTGTGGTTTTTTTTTTTTTTTTTTTTTTGAGAGAGAATGTGAAACTGAAAAATGTAAAAACTGTAATGGTAATGTAAATATATGCAGCGGCAGTTGAAGAATTTTGCGTTTGTATGCTATGAAAGGAAATCGAATAAAATATGGTGATGGTGATGAAATGATGAGTATGGTGATAAATAAAAATAAAATAAAGGAGGTAGTGAGAAACAGAATGATTTGTGCAAAAGTTGACTGGGTATGGGTTATAAAGATATATTTGTTTTAGGAAGACAAGTTAAGGGGCGTGCTGTGAGTGGGGGTGCAATAAGCAACACCATGGCAAAGCTTTTTCTCTCACATGGGAGAAGCAGGGTGCAATAAGCAACACCATGGCAAAGCTTTTTCTCTCACATGGGAGAAGAATACCCATGTAGCCCACTATCCAAGGCATGGACATCATCATTATCTCACACTTATCAACCAAAGACGTGGGGCAAACCCACTTTTCCATTACCAAGTTTAAAATCCCTCCAGTTCCCACTTGAAGACCAACGATGTTCAGATATGCTCCATATAACATATATATAATCTCTACTAAAAAACTTCTATGGCCCCATCATGATAAATAAACCCACTTACGTGATTTTAAAATAACAACTATCCCAAGTGCTTGCGGCAGTAGCTAAAGGAGCCCATGTGCTTCTTGAAACAATTATGACAGACTGGGAGCAGTATTTTCACCCATAACAGCTGAGATGGAGCCAATTGAGATTGGAAATAAAAGTGAAAACCTTTATGACTGCTATACCCTTTTCCGTATTGAGGCAGTGTCATCCCCATCTGGAGGGAAGATGTCTCAGATTCGAAGGATGACAAACTGGGTGACTGTAGACACCCCATTTTTGACCAACCTTTAGACTCAGACGTCACCAGTTGAGCGCTCAGTGATGTTGCATATTGTGCTCGTTCTGAAGTTGCAGAGTCTCGGCTGAGAGCCTTGCCTCCGGACTTCAGAGCTCTTTTGTGCTTTGTCTCGGTTTGCGAACCAGGTCCTGTTTTCTCTGTTTTCTCTTCCTGAAGGAAGGGAGAGGTCTCGTAGACCATCTCTCAGTGGCCGTAGGCTACGTTTCGTGGTCGTAGATCATTTTTCCCGTTTAGAGCCCGGTTTCCGGTTTTTGGAGCCGTCGGCTGTATGCCTCGGTTCAGGACCGCTTAGCTACCTCCGATTGCTCTGGTTTTTGGCACACACCTTATTTCCTCCTTTTAGAGGGACACTGTGGCCCGGGAGACCACCTTCGTGGTCATACGCCACTTCCGGTGCCTAACAGCCTGTTTTCGGGGCCCCAAACTGCGCGTTTTGGCCCCCGAACCTTCGTTTTGCATCTGTTTTGGTCCATTTTTGGTAGAGACCCTATTTTCATTGTTAGGAAGGTGGTAGGATGGTGGCCGGCCACCTTTTCCCCTGAAAAGCCAATTTTCTCATTTTCTCTCTCCAAAAGTCGATTTTTCTGACAGAAAGCTAGTTTTTCTCACTTTTGAGCCACATTTTCTGGCTTTTCATACCACCATTGTGATCTACTCATCTAGGAGGCCACCAATATGGGTAGGCCAGCCAGAAATTCACCTTTACCTTTTTGAACCTTGCTTAAAAGCTAGCTTTTCTCTCTCCTAGGTCACATTTTCTGATTTTTCTCCACACAGCTGTATTCTACTCATCTGGGAGGCCACCTTTCTGGGTAGGCCGACCAGCAATTTTGCTTGAACCTTTTGACCCCTGGTCGGCCGACCAGGGGGAGTGGCCGGCCTGCCACTTGAACTGGCCGACCTGCTTATTTCTTTTGCCCTTTCTGAATATAATCCAGCTGTGCCAGCTGGAGACCATTTGGTGCATCCTCCATACACGTGTATGGAGGATCTTTGAAGCTTCCAAGAGAAGCTTTGGCCTCTCTTCTCTATAAGAGAGGCCCTCATCTTCATCTCAGCTGGTTAGACATTTTTTGCCAAGGCACATAACCTCCCACCTCCATTGCTACTATTCCAAGCTCCAAAACCCTAACTTTCTTGGTCCATTTACACTACAACCCTTAGCACCACACCTCCATCATCCATTCCAGCACCTTGGAAGCCATTTGCAGAGGTTGGAAGCTCATCAACTTGGTCCAAAAGCTGCTGGAGGTCGGCTCTTCAAGGGTAAGTCCTCATTTCCTCCATTTTTGCATTATTTTGCCCTATACCTTAGCTCCATTTGCAAGCATTTTCGAGCCTTGGTGTAAACTAAAGATAGTCTTATTTTGATCTCTTCTTCATGTTTGTTTGAGAACACTTTTTTGTTTGAGGCCTCCTACATCCTTGCATGCTTTACTCCTCTTTGTAGGCCTATTTTGCATCATCATATCTTGGTCCTACTTGTGAGCACTTTTGAGATTTACTATAAACTGTAAAGTAACTTATTTTGAGCTTTTCTTCAACTTTGTTTAAGGGTACTTTACTATTTGAGGTCATCTACTTCCTTGTTTGTTCAATCTCTCTTTTAGGGCTATTTTTGCATCATACTTTAGCCTTACTTGTGAACATTTTTGAGATTTGTTATGAACAGGAAAAAGTCTTTTTTTGAGCTCCTCTTAAAGTTTTGTTAAGGTCCTATTTCTGTTTGGGGTCATCTTCCCCCTATGCATGCTTCATCTCTTCATAATTAAGGCTATACATTAGAGCACTTGCATTGGACATGGTTTGACCTCTTAGCCACTTTCAGTGGCTTGGATACATTTTTGAGGGCCAAAATTAGAGGGGGGTGACCTCCTCTCTCCTTGTCTTGTTTGGAGATCTTTTGGGCCTTCCAAAGGGACCCTATTTTGCATGCATTCAAGTCACTTTTTGGGTCCAATTTTGTGAGTTTTGGGGTCTGCCTTAGGTCTGTTCGGGGCCCTTTTGGCCATTTTTTATACCTACAATGCATGTGTAGAACAATTCCATTCAAGGCCTTTTGAGGAGGCCTTTCTTGGAATGTTTCCTAGACTGATTTTAGGGCCAATTTTATGAGTTTTAGGGCTGTCATAACTCATTTCCAGAGTTGGTTTGGTCATGCTAAGTGTCTATATTATATGTGCTTAACAACCCCTTGAGTGGCCTTCCAAAGGAGCCCCTCATTTTTACATGCATTGGCTGCATTTCAGTGATTATTTGGGCATATTTTGGCATGTTTTATTCACTGTTTTTGGCTGGTTTGGTGAGTTCTCATTTGCTTCATATACATGCCATATAAACCATGTTTGCTAGTCAATGTTGCATGCTATTTTAGTCTATCATTTTAGCATCTTTTGGCCATGCTCTAAACTAGAAATGTGCATTTTTTGGGACGGCCTTGGTTCTGTCTTTAAACTTCATGATCAAATAATGCTTGCTTTGTATACTTGTGGTTCAATGCATGTGCCTAGTATTGAGTTTCGGGGCTTATTCCATGCATCGGGTGCCATATTTCCATGTTTCGGGACCATTTAGCATTATGTTTCAGTGCTGAAAATTACATGTTTGAATGCCATGCTTCATCCTTGCCATGTTTTGGTAGAGTGGCATTCAATGTCTTAGGTTCGGTCCTCGGTTTGCGTGCATGTGTGCACACATTTCGGTTGTCTCTTTTTCATCTTACGGCTACTGATGTGAGTGTGGCTGAGGTCCACTAATGATTGGTGTAAGTCCATTATGCATTGTGTATGCCTTTCAATTCATAGCATTGCATATGCTAGGTTGCGTGTTACAGCTTTGTATATGTCATGTTACATCGAGCATT